TCCTGCTGATCTGTTAATTCTTTTTACTTTATCCCCCATACAGTATCAGTTGGTTGGCAGTTGTCACGCTTGTCAGTTCTGCATCAAGAACTGATGGCTCAACTCCAATGGCAGTTGGTTACTTGATTAGAAACATGCTGATTTGGCATGAGATACTGGACAGTGAAGCTCACTGTAGTAACTAACTGCTGGACAGCTTTTGTGGAATTAGCACTGATAGTAGACTCAGTATTTCTTTAATTTTTCATTAATGTTCTTATTTCATTCTCACTCATTTATCCAAAGTTCCTTTGTTCTTTGTAAATGAACAATAAATTTGTCTTTTTAGCCCCAAGGGTTTGTCTTTTAATATACCATCTTTCAGTAAATTTTTCACTGTTACATTTTTGCACATACAGAACATCTTGCAATGAATAAGGTAAAAGATATAGATAATAAATCTGGAATAGATCTCCTTGCATGTGTAGACTTTAAACCACATGAGTTTCTCCACCATAATTATATGGTGATTTAGAATAGAGACTTTTTTAACGGATTTATTTTAAGAAACCTAACATTTTGTTGCATTATTGACTAGGAAGAATATCTTGCTTGTTGGGGATTACTCTTTCAAGAAACAATGGGATGCCTTTACTTCAAGGATGGGAGGACTGTATTAATATGTTTACACTAACAGCTATAGTTTTGCTGTGTTAATATATAATAAAGCTGATTCTTTTTGAATATTTAAGAATTTCAAGAATAACGATGGAAAACTGCCATGTGACACAAATGGTTGTAGTTGTTTATGGTTAAAAGCAGCAGTGCTGTTGGGAACCTGACTACAACTAGGCCTAATTATAACCTTTGCCTGAGTTCAGGTAGTTGCCAAGCTGCAATCGTAGAAGTGCTTAATGAGAACTAATATTTTATTTTGGTCTTGCTCTGCATTATGATGCAATCAGATGACTGTCAAATCACCTAGTTGAAAAAAGAGTGCTGAGACAGAGTGACTTCCTTTGTGTGTTCTGTTCCTTGTATTGTCTGATGCTTAAGTATAATGTAAGATGATTTTTCTGCTGGTAGATAAATCTAGGCATAAATTATCTGTTGGTTTGGTTTTAAAAGTAAGATCTCTTCTATGAGGTATGAGCATGTATGATTTTAGCCAGACATTACTAGCAGCTGCCAAGAGCCAGTTTATAAAGAACAATGTAAAAAATGTAGCAATACATTCCAAGAATATTCTCTTGGCCTTGAGCAATGTTTGATCAGTCTTCGTGAGGAAGAGGTTTTCAGTGGAGTACTTATTGAATTAGTTGCATTTTGAAACCTTTGATCGCTTCTAGCATTTCTCCTGCACTGAAGAATTCAGTAGTAAAACATTTTATGAAGAAATATTTTTTTCCGTGTTTTGGAGCCGTCCCTGCTGTCTGCTTCAAGTCCTGTACCCTCCAGATGTAATAGGAACAGATAGCTTGCTTTTCCCTTTTTCTTGTTACTTAAGACTCACCCTGTGGACTGCTGTCATAATTTCCCTCCTCATAACCCAATCAGGTATTGCTATTTCAGCCTTCAGAGTAGATAGTAATTCCTTACACAAAAGTATTCTTTGGTTTTCCCTGAACCTTTATAGTTCTTCTGTTTAAAGTGATGTTTTTACCAACTGAAACAGCAGTTGTAGTAAGTGTGGCTGGGGCAAAATACTGTGGCAAGTAGGCACTTTATATGTAATGGTATAATGACAAATTTGTTCTCTATTGCCTTCCTTAGTCATTTTTAACCTTTTTGCTTTTCTTCTTTTGTTTTACCCTGACTGTACATGGAGCTGATACTTTCATGGATCTGATTAATTGCAAAATCTCCTTCAAATTGATCAGAACCCATCAGTTTTATATGTATTTTCACTATTGCTTTTCTGTGTAGTTGGATGCAAAATGAAATATATAGGAACTTAAGATTGTTGTAGCTGTAGGATGATAGAAGTGGCTTCTTTACTTGAGCTAGGCTATAGTATGAGCTTTATATTAACTTTATACTTTTATATGAACTTTTTTATACTTTAGCATTATCTTTAGCCACTTAATATTCTTGTGTCATATATTTAGCATGAATGTGCTTAGAAGTTGTTGAGCAGACTTGTACTTTCAATATAGTAGTAATTCTCAAGCTAATAACTTTAAATATTGCAAGTGACTTCATAAAATTCCTTTCTTTATGCATGTGCACTGGGGAGATACAGTAAAAAATGTTACCCAAAATCCCTAAGTTTCTTGGGCAGAGAAAATAAAAGCTGCTTACATCTATATATAAAGTGACATTCATGCAGAGTATGATTTCTGTGGCATTTGCTCTCTGTTCTGTAACTTGGTGTTGGAAAGATCAAATACTTGAGAAATTAAGGTTTCATTTATTATCTTGTTTTATATAGTTAAAAACAAACCCTCTTCCATCAACCATGCTTTCCATTTCTACTCAATTCCCACTTCTACAGACTCAATTTTATACAGCTAGTATTTTGTCCAAGAAACAGAGTGGAGTTAGTCTTGTTTTATGTTACTTCTGCCCTTTGTCTGTGTCCTGTTGAACATGAAGCTGTAAATGATACTGCTTTGCACTGGTGTGATCAGAAGGATCTTAACAGTGTTGCTGGTAAATTTTGCCATCTTCATAATTGGAAGTTTCTCTTGTGTATTTTGAGTAGTTTCAATGGAGGAAGCAAGACATCCAAACAAATTATCAAATTATGAAAACAGCTCTGCTGAACACTGTAATCTGGCTCAGGAGTCTTTTATTTTTATATATTTAATATGTTTCAAGTACTAAAGTGTTGCAAAAATAATACACCAGTATGAACATAACAATTTAGAAAGTATAAATGTGTGTCAAAACAATTTGAATCTCTTTCAACCAGTATAGCACCTAAAACCAACCTGGTACATATAAAATAAGTTCATTCAGGAACTTCCTCTGCTGGAACAACTTCCAAAAGCATCTGAAGGTGCATAGTGATGGGCCCTGAAAAAAAAATAATGGTTTGGAGGCTTTATGAGAGACTTGTGTTTTTGTTCAGAATTACACTATTTTTCCAAGTGAGAATATTTTCTGTATTGATATTTCAATCTTAAAAAAATAAAGGGTGAGGAATACAAGCAGTATAAATGTTCTGGGATTTCTAATATTGCTCTAGTAGAGTACAATGCTTCTGATAGTGTAATTATGTATTTAATAATCCCAGGAGGGGTAGGAGACACATATTATGGGGAGGGGGGTTTAAGTGTCTGTAGAACTACTAATTCTTTCCTTGTAGAAATTACTATCATGTTTTCCCTGATACAATTGCAGTTTCTGTTGAGAGGCTGCAAGAAATTTTTATATATTGCCACCGTGGTGTTCTTACAGCTTTCACTTTCCTCAGCAGCACTGGGATTATTTGCTTTAGTAAGTGGCAAAATGGTAAATTGAGCTAGAAGCACAGTATTTTGTGGCCTAAGAATGTGTATCTACTAAAGCAGTGTTTTGAAATGCACACAATTGAAAACTAACTGTACTGATAAAATGGTTTTGTTCATTTTAAAAATCAGATTTTTTTGAGCTCTTAGTGATGTGTTGGGTTTTTTTGTGAATTAAGTTTTGTTTTTCTGAACTCAGACATCACCTTTTTTCCACAGGAAGGGGTGCAATACAATCTTGAGTATGAGCTCACTGTCTTACCCCTCTCTGTATGACTGGGAAATTGCCTCCCTCCACACCCCAGCTCTTGTGACTTAGATGGGATGGATCATATATGAGCTTCATTACGCAAATTAATCTGAAGCATAGCAATGTTCTGTTGAATTTGGAGCTGGCTGCCTGAGGTATACTTACTTGATATTTTTTGGGGCCACTTGAATTTAAGATGAACAAAAAGTACGTAAACTATAAGTCCACTAAGTATAAATAAAACACAGTACAAATAGGCCAGTTCGGGTGCACTGATGATTGGTGCCAACACCAGTAAAATAGAGGCTATTGTCACTATGACTGGAATGATGATGGGTACCTGCAAGATACAAAGCACAAAATTACTTGTTGATTCTTTTGCTGTTTTTACAGAAGTAAAATATCTGAAGTACATTTTCATTGCCAGATGCAGTTTTTTCTTTTAAAATTTCTGGGATTATATGGGACAATTAAGAGTAGCAACAGTATGGACAGGGAAAACTCTTCTGCTAAATCAGTGCCCCAGATCTGTTTATGAAGATTGCAAATTATAGCATAAAGATTTGCATTTTAATGAATCTGGAACCAACTCCGGTGCGATGATCAGGG